AAAAAAAAACCACTTTTTTGAGCTATCGCGCAAAGTCAGAGATGAATATCTGTAATTATCAAGAAAAACTATTAAAGTTTTCTTCCTTTTCTCCAACTGTGTATATTGAGGGTAAATTTTCTTCACATACTTCCACTTAAAGAGATTATCACAACAGATTAAATACAGAAACAGATACAAGAATCCAGCCAGACATTAAAGTTTTGCAGAACTGTAAAACAATGCCACTCTTGCCACTAAATTTTCTTTTTAAAAATATAAAGGGATCGTGAGGCCAGAGAGTTTTTGACAACCTCTAAACCAGATTTTAGAATTACTCTGTTCAGGCCGGGCACAGTGACTCTCTCCTGTAATCCTAGCACTTTGGGAGGCCGAGGTAGGCAGATTAATTGAGGCCAGGAGTTGGAGACCAGCCTGGCCAACATGGTGAAACCCCGTCTCTACTAAAAATACAAAAATTAGTCAGGTGTGGTGGCATGCGCCTGTAATCCCAGCTACTTGAGAGGCTGCGGTAGGAGAATCTCTTGAACCCGGGAGGTGGAGGTTGCAGTGAGCTGAGATCTCGCTATACACTCTAGGCTGGGCAACAGAGCAAGATTCTGCCTTATAAAAAAGAATTACTCTGCTTATCCACATCAGTATTTTTTGAGATGGAGCCTCGCTGTGTCACCCAGGCTGGAGTGCAATGACGCTATCTCAGCTCACTGCAATCTCCACCTCCCAGGTTCCAGCAATTCTCCCACGTCAGCCTTCCGAGTAGCTGGGATTATAGGCCCACGCCACCATACCTGGCTAATTTTTTTGTATTTTTAGTAGAGAAAGGACAGGGTTTCACCATGTTGGCTAGGCTGATCTCAAACCCCTGACCTCAAGTGATCTGTCCACCCTGGCCTTTCAAAGCATTGGGATTACAGGCGTGAGCCACCTCATCCAGCCCCACATTAGTATTTTATGACACAAGAAATTTTAGTCTCTATCATCTTTCATAAGCACTAATAGCAATTTTAAATGGTATTTCATAATATGAATTTAAGATTTCTCCTTGCTGACATTGACAAGAAAAAAAAAACTTTACTGCAGAATTACATTGTACCTTTACTTTCCTAGCATGTCTATGTGCCTGACAGAAGGTCAGTGCCAGCTGGCCTGACTTTACAGTCTGTTAGTCCCCAGAGCCTCCAAGGGAAAACGGTGAGTAATATCTTTATTTACCATACCATGTTTTATTTATGTGCTACACAGGAAGGTACATATCTAACATAGTTTTTAAGTTTGAATTTTCAGAGGTTCTCCCAAAGAAAAAGCATTACTGCTTTTGTGCAAGAGATGCTCATCAGAAGAATTTGGAATCATGTAGCCATTTCGGTGTTTTAGTGGATACCGTTTCCTAAGTGCCTGACTGGCCAAATAAAAGATTATATTTTGAGACTTTACAGCCGGGTGTGGTGGCTCATGCCTGTAATCCCAGTACTTTGGGAGGCCGAGGTGGGCGGATTGCTTGAGGTCAGGAGTTCGAGACCAGCCTGGCCAACATGGTGAAACCCCATCTCTACTAAAAATACAAAATTAGCTGGGCATGGTGGTGCGTGCCTGTAATCCCAGCTACTCGGGAGACTGAGGCAAGAGAATCACTTGAACCCGGGAGGTGGAGTTTGCAGGGAGCCAAGATCCGGCCATTGCACTCCAGCCTGGGCAACAAAGTGAGACTCTGTCTCAAAAAAAAAAAAAAGAAAGAAACTTTATTGTGTAAGCTAAGTGGGTTTCTTTACTTTGTTAATTCCCTTATCCTTAAAACAGAAATTGCAGTAATTCATTAGTGAACAAATCCAGCAAGCAGCTATTTGTAGTCAAACTGCCAGTGTATTAAGTTTTTCGTGTGGATTTTTAGATTAACTTCTTTAGAGCTGTTAATAAAAGAAACTGATTTGCTTATCAGCAGAAAAAGAAAGACTGTAACAAACATTCCAGCAAAGAAAGTACTTACCATTATGATTTCATTGTCAGTGTTATGTTAATTGGAAAGGTGTTATATTAGCAGGATACTTCTAGTTGAAGAGAAAAGATGACTTTTCCTCACTTCAGTTTATTTTAATGGTGTTCTTTTATCAGGGGCTCTGGCTTTATTGTCAGTAGATAGCCTCAGTTTCTGTACAGATGTGATTTTAGCACCTGTGTATATCGTTGTTCATTATTTAAAATTCCCTTTCTGCAGTAATCAAATTCATCTTACGTGTTTTGTAAAAACATTGTTTTATCTTTTATACGTTTAGATAAAAGGAAATATTTTCTTGCTTTAAACTTCCTGCAGTTTATTTGCCAAAGATTATTTAATTAAAACTAAGAACTTTAAAATGTTGGAATTTTAAAACATTAGATTGTTGACCTGACGAATAGTCATTAATCACAAAGTAAATGCTAAATAGCATACCACAAATGTTTCTCTAATTCCTTGCTCCCTCTAGTGGGTATTTAGCACAAAATTTATTTACAACCTCTCCTGCTTTCTTTGGTCAAACGTGCCTCTTTATTTGGCCTCAAAATCTAAATAAAGTTATTGGTGTCTTTCATCCTTTTGAAAATCTCTTAATCTTTTAAGATCCATAAATAATAAATCAGAGTTTCAGTATTTCTTGTGTTATCACTCTGATTTCTTGTGGTTCTTAGAATATCTATATCCCTTACCCCACCTTACCTTCTCCCTGGCAAGACCTCGAGTGTTGGAGATGATGATCATAAAACACGGACCTTTCTAGCATCATGAGGTCGCAAGATAGAATTGGCATCAGAGCAAAAGCAACTGTTCTTTTTCTCTTATGTGGTTTATTTAAATCTCACACACCAAACCTTCTTTGACCATTTAATATACAGTAAAAAACTGTTGTCTCACCTGTAGATACCTAGTTTTATCTAAGGAATCCAATAGTAACTATAGTTTACTTCTACTAACACTTTTTCTGTCTGAAGGCAATAATTTTTAATACAATTTCAGATAATGGTTAAAAATGATTTCTGTTTTTGAAAAGAATTGTAGGAAAATAAAGAGCAATAACAAACAGAACAGAAGAGAGCTAGTGCAATGTGTGGTGTAGGCAAAACAAACCAATCTCAGTAATACTTTTTAGCCTGGAATTTTTAAGACTACATTGCAGCACTCAAGTGAGGAGAGTCTCCCTGTAGCCCGCTTTCAGTTGTTAATTGTAACAAAGCTCTGAGAAATACCAATTAATATTTTATGGGCTGTAAGACTGCCAGTGCCCATACCTTACTGTATTTCTAAGAAAAGTATATTAAATTGGCCCATTAAGGAATTTCATCCACCGTTGAAAATTTGTTTTCCTTTTGGATCACAGTCACCAATCAGGAACCAAAAAAAGGTTCTCTTCTTTTCCCAGAGTGAAGGAAGGTTTATGTGCCCATGGAAACTTTCTCTTTTTCTTAAAAAATAAAACTGATCTTTTGGTCCTAAAAAATGCTATATGAAAGCACTAACAGTGACACTTCAGAATATAACTGGGAAATAATTAATAGAACCCAGATCCCAAGTTTAATAATGTGAAGATATCCAAGTTTTACATCAATTTTATTTTATTTATTTATTTTATTTATTTATTTACTTACTATTTATTTATTTATTTACTTATTTTTGAGATGGAGTCTCGCCCTGTTTCCCAGGCTGGAATGCAATGGCGTGATCTCGGCTCACTGCAACCTCCGCCTCCTGGGTTCAAGCGATTCTCCTGCCTCCCCGGTAGCTGGGATTACAGTCACACGCCACCACGCCTGGCTAATTTTTTGTATCTTTAGTAGAGACAGGGCCTCACCATGTTGGCCAGGCTGGTCTCAAACTCCTGACCTTGTGATCTCCTGCCTCGGCCTCCCAAAGTGCTGGAATTAAAGGCGTGAGTCACTGTGCCCGGCCTACATTTATTTTAATTATTTTATATACCTTCTGTTAGAAAGTTGGACATGTAGGTATTTGTACTATTGCTAGAAAAAGGTGTAATTTTTTTTAGACATCTTAGTAAAATATCTTTTAATAATTTTTAGTAGCACTTATGTACAAACCTTTATAATGGTTTTTTGACATTGTACTTTTTTGTACTTAACATTTAAATATTCTCATGAGTTCTGAGAAAATGCCTTAATATACTGTTGTTTTGCTGTATCTTTTAAAGTAACACTGTTCCTTCTATTTCTCTAGATATCTATGCATTTATGTAGGACCTATCATCATAGTGCCTAGGCACTATGTTTGATGTCAACCGTAAGAGGAAACTTGCCAAGAAATCTTGGTTTAATATCTGTCACTTAAGACAACAATTAATCTGTTTTCCACTGTTTGGATTCTTAAATTGTACTCCTTCAGCCAGAGGAGCTTACGCTGCTGCTAATAAAGCTGAGACGGCAGCAAGCCGAACTGAGTAGTATCCGGGAGCATACGTTAGCACAGCTCATGCAGCTAAAGCTTGAGGCCCACAGCCCAAAGGTCAGCTATGGAGAGATTTGTCTGTGTCGTCTGCCATCATCACTTATTTTGAACCACTCATTAGTCAATATGATCAGCATCATTAGTATTGAGCATGAGCCCATACCATCATTATAGTGACAACATTAGAATCTCCTATTAACCCTTTGAGAATCGAACTTATTTATACATGACTGAAAGAAAATGCAGGTAGGGTGCATTTCTTTTTAGCCTTCTACCCACCCGCTCACCCACTGGCTTTTGGTTTTGAGGAAGGAAATGCATACAGTACTTCATGTATGCATTAACTTCATGTTGTTATTCACTGAATACTGTGACTTCCACACCTGGTAAAACAAATATTGAGAAGTCCTATAATTTCCAGTAAAACAATGAATTGAAAATTCATTATAGCTTTAATAATACTGCCTTTTAAATGTTAAAAATTAATTTTAAAATGTCTTTTATTTTTAATGAAAGCAATGAACACATAACCATTTCTCAAAGGGTTTATAGCTCTGGTTATATAAGAAACATCTTATTGAAAGAAGTAGTACTTTATTACAGGAAATAATTGACATGTAAAAGTTCTAACAGTCAGTTTTTGCTAGAGCTATTTTAAGGAATTTTTCTGCTTAATAGTTCATTGTTCATATGCATGTCTACTTAATTTCTTACAAAACAAAATATAATTTTATAATTTAATATGTCAGCGGTACCATTTACAGGGGAGCATGTGCGTGAAAGTTGTCGTGCACTGTGATATAATAGGTTGTAGTAAATTACCTGTTTTTCTTATTCCAAAATTGACCTTTTCTTGAATTCCACATCCTCTTTCTCTGTCCCTTTTTTCTTAATTGGTGCCTACTAGAATGAAATTCTTTCACATCATCTCCAAAGGAACACCATATATTTGGATCATCAGGTGGGATTCATAGAGATTTTCTTACTTTTAATACTTAATAGAACTTCTTAAATATAATACAGTTTTTCAGGCTACTCAGCTATTTCAGTCACTTTGAATTAATAACATGACTTTTACAAGTGATAGAATATGAAATCCCTGACCAGGTGGATTCCGGAATTCCATAATAAACAGGGAGAAAGGACAGATGTGGAAGTAAAGAGGGGATACAAATGTTAGGTCAGCTGAAATTGACAGCCTAAATTCTCTAGACTTCTTTCTTCTTATCCCATTAAAACGCCTACTCCTTGAGGCTTATCTCAGCTTGGAGTTGACCTAATTAAAGGAACAGACACCAAGCTGTGAATTGTCTTGTTGGAAGGCAAGAAGGAGGGTGAATGTAGTGTGCTCTGTATTCACAAAGGGGAGTTTAAAGGTGGGTGAAGTTGACTGCATACAATGGCTCATGCCTGTAATCCCAGCACTTCGGGAGGCTGAGGCAGGCGGCTCACTGAAGGCCAGGAGTTCGAGACCAGCCTGGCCAACATGGAGAAACCCTGCCTCTACTAAAAGTACAAAAATTAGCCGGGCGTCACAGTGAATGTCTATAATCCCAGCTACTCAGCAGGCTGAGGCACAAGAATTGCTTGAACCCAGGAGGTGGAGGTTGCAGTGAGCTGAGATCGTGCACCACTGTACTCCAGCATGGGCTATAGCTCAAGACTCTGTCTTAAAGAAACAGAGAAAGAGAGAGAGGGAGGGAGGAAGGAAGATGGGTGAAGTGTGTAGTGGAGGTGATTTTTAGTTGCCTGTCCTTATTCC